AGGGACAGTGTTTACCATCAATATTTATTTCTGTGTAACTCATCAAAAATGAAACTTGAAACCTGAAAGCACAAGGACAAGGATTGGGATCTAGGCGAAAAGCAGTTTTTCTGGAAAATGATAGCATTTTCGAAGCTCCAATCACGGTGTCGTCAAGTCGCTTGTTCCTACGTCACATATGCTGCTGCAACCGAGCAGGCGATCGGGCGATCAAAAACTATTGTACCTGGAACACCAGAGGACTTGAAGATTGTGAACACATTTGTGATGTCCACTGTCAATATTGCGGATAATGGACGTTCTCAGACATAACACTTAAAGGCATGCCCCAGGATCGCACTGGTGTGGCTCTTGCACACGAATGTGAATGTATCGGTGCCAAGTGGGCCGGCAGTGAAGAAAAAAGGAAAAGAATCCGTCGAAAACGCTCAGGTTGAGGGCTCACTCACCTTCCTAATTGGCTGTGCTAAAGGAACGAGAGACTAAGCGCGAAGAGGAGAGTATGGGGCGAGAGAGCGCATCAGATGAGAGAGCACCAGACAACGGCCTGATAAGAGAGCTCGTTCGCTGCAGCTCGAGCAGCTTACTTTGCAAGCCCAAAGCGTTCTTGTCGGTCGAATTCCGTGCACGTGAACGCCACATTTGTGATTGTCCCCTAGGGTTCTATACTTCTGACCGAAGAGAAGAGTTCACACGACCTCTGCCTGGGTTGTGCCTTTAACGGGATCCCCTGTAGCTGTCACTACACTAAACTACCTGTCACTTTTCAGCGACCAAAGTAGTGGCCTGTTATGACCGTCACAGAGAACTTCGCTAAAAAAAATTGGGGTGAAAGACAGTAATAGTCGCACGCCAACTTACCCTTTCGGATGGAGTTTTAGGTGTGATATTGGACAACCCAGTTATTCCTGCACCGTTTTGAGATAAGCCGTTTGGACAGAGCGAGCACCTGAAGTAAGGCGTGAATTACGACGTTCCTGCCGCAATCACGTACATTGCGCTCGCAGCGACGCGCTTTCTGCGGTAGCCATTCTGAAGGTCATGCCAACAACGACGCTACCCCTTCGGTCCAGGGCAGCAATCCAAAAATGGTCGAGCGTCACAGCGTACACTCCGCCGCGCGCGATCGTGTGTCCATCCTCCACCTGTGAGGCGGCCTAGTATAAGCACTTGGCGAGTTTGCTCGTTGAGAGCGCATAGAACACGAGGGCGAGCACACGTTTTAACGCGTCAATGCGTCGCGTTTTGTACGTGACCACAGCAGAACAATACAATTCACGCCTTACTTCGGGTGCTCGCTCTGTCCAAACGGCTTATGTCGACCGTTTTTGTTCAAATTCAATTTTTTTTTCAAATTAGCTTCATAACGAAACAACTTGGTGTGTTGAATCATCGGACCTTGAGCCAGGATGTTTCAGAAGCTCAAATGCGCAACGGGATAATTAAGTAGGAATCAAAATAGATCAACGACCAAACCCAACGATTATGCCTTACGACAATTTTAAGAAGAACCTTGCAAGGAGCGCGGTAGGCAAGATCAGCGCTACGTTTGCCCCTCTTCTGCTACCGATCATGCAGTGAGCTATTGGCTTAATAGCATAGGCAAAGTTCAACCTCATCCCAAACTTCCAGTCAGCTTCTATGAACGGGACATGCCGTGCTTTCTCCGAATCGATGTCTAATAATGCCTTCGTTTATGGATGCCCGCCGGTAGCGGATTGAAAGAGATATTTCTAATCTGCGCTTAAAGACGTGTCGAGAAAGGATCACTATGCTCCAACTGGCCGCCTTGACCTATCTTCCTAACTGATAAGTGGTGACGGTTCACCCTTTCTGTCAGGTGTTCGATGATTTCGCTCTTGGTTCCAAAATCAAGAGTCCTCTTGAATCGATAGTCATAAAACTGCTTGTCGTACTGTCAAGGTACGTCAGCGAATTTTGTAGCCGTGTCAAATAAACTAATCGTGTTGAGCAACCTTACTCGCTAATATGGCTGGTTTTAACTTCAAGCAAAGCAAAGCAAGCGTGTCACCACTCTAAAAGTCTCTTGTCTAAAAGATACTGTGCTAGATGCTAGATAAGATGGTGTGCTCTGTGCACAGGTGTAAGTTTATGCAGAATGTATCCTCAAAGGGAGGGGTACAGGGAAGGAGTGAGAACAACCCACTGATAAGCCTAGGTTTCGATTTGGTCCTAAGCTTAGTCTATCGTAATTTTTTCAGATAAAGCATTTCGTAATCACAAATCTACCTAATGGGAAGTTTTCAATAGAGAAATACGCTTTTGATTCTGTCAGTCAAATGGTTCAGCATCATATGAATAAAGGAGAATCAATATCGAGGGTAACTACAGATACTGTTTCATTTAAATCCATGTTCTCCTAGCTGCACCAAATATACTTCAATGTGGGCTATTGAACACGTCCCTTCCCTTCCCTTAGCAAGAGTCCTTTCCACGACTCAGTAACTACGTCGCTGACATCATGTCAAATTACTTCAACAGCTTACCATTCCATTTCTTAGAATTCAGATAATACGTTTCTAAGATTTGCAGGCTTCCAATTACCGTAAAAACTCTACGATTACCCACACATGGTAAGCAGAACCTTCTGGACGTGTAGACGGCGCTCCCAAGTTACACACATGGTTTCCGCTGGGAATTTTAGGGCCCACTTACTCCATTTTCTGTATTATGCGGAGCACTTTTCTCCTAAATCATAGCGTATTATAGGCAAACGAGGTCATACTCCGGACGCCAATACTGAGGCAGAACTGGGAGCATGCACACGAAGATGTGGAACTAACGAAAAAACTAGGTTCGTTTAAAATTAGATTTAGTAGGACGGGAAGCGAGTTCCAATACCGGGATGCAGTAAGACCGGAGTGATCGAAAAGAAGGAGCAATGGCAAACCAAGTTGACTAACCATAAGCTGTATAGCGTTTTAAAAAGTCGTGTGTTGTTGTGGAAGGGAGGGATTAGAAGAGATACACCACATCTTGAAAATGCATATTTATCAAACTCCTACAATAGGGAGATGAAATTTCTATTGTTCTATGTTATGAAAATAGAAAATGGAAAAACTAAAAGCATAGCTTTGCTCCGCATTTTTTGGTGAGAGATCATAAGGATGCTTGTGTACAAAGAATAGTAGGGGCAAAAAAGACTTACTTTGCTCATAGCTCACATCGGAAACCTCTTCGTCGCACAAAGTGCAGCCGATGATGAAAGCGTTATGGCAAAATATTCCCATAATGCTCCTCTTTGAGCAGGAGCGGGCCCTCAATCACTGTCCCCACCGCCCTCTGAATATGATGTCCTGCGCCATCGAGCGTCGAGCTCACAGAGTCCTGCAATAACCGCTCCAGTCTTAAGCTGCCGCATACAGGGTGGCTACTAAATATTGGCGCATGGATTGTTGACCATATTTTTAAAACGAGAAGCTTTTACATCTTCAGAGGTTTATCTTTATATACCTTATAACATGGCAGTACATTGCTGAAGAAAGTGCTCGAAATGGCCTTCTTCGGCAGCGATACAGGCTTCAAATCTCTTCTCAACTGACATCACTGTGGGCCGCAAGTAGCTGACGTCAAGCTCCTTCCACGCCTCCTCCAAGGAAGCCTTCAGGGAGTCCAAACTTCGACGTTGCTCAGAAGGCATCTTCTGCTTCAAAAAGCCCCACACCGCCAAATCAATTGGTTCAAATCGGGCGACTTAGATGGCCAAACATTTTGTGCCCGGTAACTTGGAAAATGACGGTCACAGTTCTCCAACATTGATTTTGCGGCATGTGGAGGCGCCCTGTCTTGCTGAAGAATGCAATGACGTTCGCTGAAGGTCAAAAGAGTCCTTGGAAGAAGGGCATTACGTGAAAATTGTTTCCGGGTAGATCTGGGCGCTGGCTTTGATGTATTCATCCACAAAGACAAGCGGTGTCATGGTTTCAGAAGTAATTCCTGCCCAAACCATGACAAATTTGAAAAACGGTTCCTTGTGTGTACACAAGGTCGAGCAGAATGTCTGAATGCAAATGTTGCTAGCCAGATCCAACAACTGCCTGTCGTTTTGCAAATCGTGCGCCACTTCTGGTCTGAAGATCTACTCACGTCACGCCGACGTCAGCTACTTGCGGCCCACGGTGATGTCAGTTGAAAAGAGACTTCAAGCCTGTATCGCTACCAAAGGAGGCCATCTCGAGCACTTTCTTTGGTAATGAATTTTCATGTTTTATTGTATATAAAAATAAACTTCTGAAGATGTAATAGCTTCTCTTTTTGGAAATATGATCAATAAACCATGCGCCAATATTTAGTAGCCACCCTGTAGTTTCTTCTGGTGGATCCTTTCCTGTGATTGTAGCTCTGACCATGAAAAACCCCTTCCGACTTTCCGATAACGTATTGACGGGAAGGATCGACTTGATAAGATTATTCCACTCAAATGTGAAAGTAGGGGAAGACGGTGGACCACCAGTGGAGAAAAAGAAAAAAACGTGAAATACACAGGAAATACGAGCCTTTTGCTCTACGCTGCGGAGAAGTTCAAAAGGCCGGCAGGGAGATGAGAGATAATGTGAGCGCGGAGAGCGCTAGAGAAGTCCGAGTAGAGAGAGCATAGCAGATCAAGTTAGCGACGCAGACAAGATATCGAGCGGTGGGCGGAGCGTGTCGCAACAGGTGGAGCGTGTCAAAGTTCTTAGCGCCTAGCGTCTAGTAACGCTTTTCGAAGTAGGGAAGTGAAGCGTTGCGTACCCAGCGCTTCTAGCCACAGTAAAGGCTCACTAAGGTAAGTGTGTCCAAGCCCGAACTTTGCCTTCAAGTATCCGTCGAGAATGTCGTTGAGATTCAACTGCGCAATACGTTCCTGTGAAAATTCTTCTTAAGCGATTGATGTAGAATGTTGTTATGGGATCTTTGATAGATTGGAATGTGCACTTCAATTTACAGTTGGAAACATTTGGTTTGATTTTAGCGTAGTGTAATCCAATTCATTGAGTGGAGAAAGAGTGACGCTTTCGTTTTGCCTCTGGAGTGATGAGAGAATACCCTAAATGAAGCGCTCAAAAATAATTCGATACTGAAAACCTTAAACTCACTGGGAGTGGTGGAAGTTGGTCTGCTTACTTTACAGGGTTGTTGGTTCAGGTGAAGGTGCATTCGGTGAAGTTCATATGGGCAAACTGAAACTTCGAAATGGCAGAAAGGTAGATGTAGCAGTAAAGCTGGTAAGAAATGTGCAAATGTTACGATCGAGATTTTCTCAAGAATTCCCACTAACTATCATTCCATATAGGCAAAACTGGAAGTGTTAACAAAGGAGCAGATCAAAGAAATTATGCATGAAGCTCGCCTCATGAGGAACTTTGACCACCCGAACGTTGTTAAATTCTATGGGGTGGCCGCTGGACAAGAACCGCTCATGGTGCTCATGGAATTAGTGAGTGGTTCAAATTTTTGATATCATGCCGTTCGAGCTCTTCCCTTTCCACCTCTATAGTCTTTAATATCATTTCTTGAAGACTATCGAGGCATTTTAAGATTACTCAGTTAGCTGCAACACACGTTCTTCTTCTCAAAGTAATGCTCTGTTATAGGTCCTGACTTAATTTTGCCCAATGCGTCTTCCACCGGTTACATTGAAGTGACATACTTTTCTCATTCATTAGCGTTACCAGTTGGCGCTTGCACACTTCTTCGAAATCATGCTTCGTCATGGTATTATTCCCATGTCTAGTGCTTCGGGTCCATACTGCCACATTTGCTGCTTCTGCGGTTTCAGATGAGGAGACGTATTGTCTAGAACGCTCCGTTGTGGAGTACCGCCGACCAGAAAGTATATTAGTGTGCTTCTTGCATTACGTGCTCGCATCTTTAAAGCTTCACTGTAGAGATCCACGGCTATCATCGTGCGATAGGAAACCATCACTTCCATCACCGACTGAACACAACCCTCTGGCGATAACTTCTGGCATTATTGCGTCATGTCGTAGTAGCTCTTGGGAATTCGCTATCGGGTGATGCTCCTAATATATAAAAGCTGTTATTTAACAGCCCTTTCATTCCAGCTTCACTGCCTCGACATTTGAATCTGATAGGGAATTAATAGCACTGAGGGGTTCTTTGTTCTTCCTTTATTCAAAGAGTAAATATTCAATATGCATGCGTACCCTGTATGCATCCATAGAGCAATATCTGGCTCTTCTGTCATGAAGTGTGCAGGTCTGATCTCCACATCGAAGAAGGCTAAGTGGCAGCACTGGTAACCTCACAACGGCTATCCATTCTTACAACACTTAGTCCACTTTACCTGCTAGTATAAAGTTGATGATGGCATATTGGCGTCGGAATCAGAAATTGAGCGATTGCAAGCCGGCTTACATCATTATGCATCAAGTGTCCGATTGCTCACCTAACATCAAGTTTTTGAACACTCTATGGGTTGCAATGTCACGTCATGCGGTTGTAGGAAGACTAATATTTTTGCCCTCGTTCAAAAGCGAGGAGCTAAAGAGGTGGTTGTTCATAATCTTGGTTTTTACCAGCTCAAGTAAGATCCCTACAACTTCCTCGACGAATATTACTGAGATTTGACCATGATTAGTAATCGCCTCCATGCCTGCTCTGTCTTGGAGCAAACACATCATAGCCTCCTGCTCGTCTTCTCAATTTCACCTAGAGGCGCCCCTGACTAACAACGAGGTACTGCTTCACAGGAAAAGCCGGCGAAGCATCATTAAACTGAGCTCAGAAAACGCATTTATCTTATTCATCACTAAAAGCAGCCAAATGAAAGAAGCTAGGCTTTCAAAAGATATTACTGGACGTAACGCAATGTCTTCTGTGAAAGGCACGGACTGAGGCGGAGCTAGATGCGGCCAAGTTCATCCCAGACCTTCCGCAGCACTCTTCAAGGTACTGACGTGACGATAGTGTGGCCTTAGAACAGTTCAACCTAATAGTGGAGGGGTTCATGAACTTCAATTGGTAGCAGTTGACGACACTGGCAACCTGGCGAATGCTGACTTTGGCAAAAAAATATCATATTGCCACTTGTCAGCAGCCTATCGCGTCCTACTATAACTTGCTAAGTATGTGTGTGTGTGGGTGCACGTTCGTCTGTCTGTCACGAAATTCATGGCGCGCGTCCCAACAGTCGTCAGGAGTTGATTTCTGAGATATAGTATAGAGGGTTGGAAGACATATTTGGCGGGCGACAGCAACTGCTAACGACTAGTAAGAGCTTATAAAGGGAGGGGGGGGGTAAGAATGAATGCCACGGAATTCCTTTCATGTGTAAATGCAGCATCCAGGCGTTGGCTTGAACATATATTTAATGCAAAGACGGGAACATATTTGAGGTGTGACAAAAAATGGTAGTGATTGATAAGGGGTGCCAGATTGCAAGGGTAGCGAGATCCGTAGTGTGCGGCTCAGCAGCAGAGAGCTTCTGTTTCAAAGGGTCTGTTTGTTGGTGACGAAAAGTGACAACAGTTCAACAACACGGCTGATAGGAGCAATTATCTTGAAAAGGAAGGAGTCACTGAAGTTGTTATTTAGGTGCGCGAAAATAAATGCATTCCATTTCGTTTGCTATATAGATTCATCGAACTGCCCAAGCTCCTAAAGGAATCTTCCACGGAAAAAGCTCCGCCCTCATTACCACAGAAAACGATACCTTAAAGGAATCTTCCACGGAAAGTGATCATTTTGTCTTGTGTGTAGGATTAGTATTATCGAAACTAACGCTTATGTTCCGTTCTTTTTGCTATGCTCATGAGGCTAGGGGCCTAAGGGGTATCGTTTTTCTGTGGTAATGGAGGCGGAGCTTTTTCCGCGGAAGATTCCTTTAAGATGGTAGAGGTTTGTGGCACTATGAGAGGTACTGGGTTTTTTCTTCGAAGGCAAAGTCGGGCTCAATGTGGGGTATTATGGCGACTGAAACTGAGTATGGAGATGCGAAATGGAACGACAGTGGAGAAAAAACGAAAAAAACCGTCGACAAGGCCGAAAAAAACCCCCTTTCCCACTAGCAGTGAAGGAGGCTTGCTTGGGGAGAGCCACGTCCAAACGAGTTTTCCGGATATGCCAGCCGTTCCATCGGTTGATACGGCAATCAACCTAGCTGATTTCACACGTTATGCCGCACCACATCCCGCGGTGGGCGGGACCAGCTGATGCAACGAACCCATCGCTGTAAGTAGTAGGCCAGAGGCCTTGACGGCGCGCAATCTCGAGTCAGGAGTGTGGCGTCACCCCTCTGAGCGCAGTCCTGGCCATGGTAGTGATGGAAAGGCCTTCTATGACCGCCTAATCCTGGCGTGGCTTTAACGACATCAACATGAAAAGTCGTCCAACCGCTTAATCATCTTCATGTTGCATTATAGTTGCATACGCTAAGGCTCGATGGTGAACAGCTCGAGAAAATATATTAGTTATCCAAAGCTTATTCGGTCGCTATACCATTTCGGCTTCCGAAAAATGGTGTACGTTTATGGGTGCTGGCGGGCTGCGTAAAATTACATCCCTATCACCAGCACTACGACACCTTTCGTTAATGATATCAATTGGATCCATTGAAAGCATGCACCCCGCCTTATACAAGAACCCGGCTATGCTCAGTTACTGAAGCCTTTTTTCTGCGCAGTAGCGTGCGGATTTAAACTGATGTTTCCAACCCTTTGTGCTTACTACGCATTCCCTAAATAAGGTTTTGGAGATTTTGCTTGATGTCGCGGAACGGAAGTTGTGAAGTGTCAAGATAGATCTATTAAAATGGTTCAACGACCAACATTGTGGAGCTCACAGTATTAATCGCTGGATATTTAAGAATGGAGGCGACCACGCGAATGGTCGGACGCAACTTCATCTATGGCCACACTTCCAATCTTCTGACTGATGAAATCTGATGCCCGAGATGAACCATAATTTGCCAGAACACTCAGCAGGACTCGAGTCATCATTCTCCGAATTACAGAAGTCCCACTCGTCACTGAGCACAGGTTTTTCCTCCTGCCCTCGGTCCAGGTCAGCCGTGTGGCTCTTGCACACGAATGCGAATGTATTGGTGCGAAATGGGCCGGCAGTAAAGAAAAAGGAAAAGAATCCGTCGAAAACGCTTAGGTTGAGGGCTCACTCACCTTCCTAATCGGCTGTGCTAAGGAATGAGAGACTAAGCGCGGAGAGGAGAGTATGAGGCGAGAGAGCGCCAAACAACAGAACGACAAAAGAAAAAAAACTGCAGATGCTGCATCTCATTGACAAGGCCCTAGCGCACATATCGGTTGATTTCCGAGCGAGTTAAGACCACAGTGATTTGTGATTTTTCTCTGGGGGTCATCCTGTAGATCGATGGGAATCGTTCACACAGTGCCTTTGACAACGAAAATCTTTCATTCGAAGTGTTCCTGTTTTTCTTCAACAATCTTACGCTTTTTTCGTCGTGTAATTGCCACTCTACTCTCACACATTTGAGCCTCGGTAATCGCCTTGGACGCATGATGTTTTCATGCTTCTTCCTGAACTTTGACTTCCTATGTTCCGAATGCAGAACAAATTTTTATCTTTCTTCTTCTTCGCTGAAATTCAAATACATTCTTATTTTGTGGTGTGGTGACGGTCTGCAATTTTCGAAAAACGTTGCAGGTGAACTGTGGAGCTCTGGATTCCTACCTTCAGAAGCAAGAGCAACCAGTTGAGAAAAAGAATGAAATGATTCTGCAGGTTTGGCTACTTGACCATCAGCTGTGGTCGTTCACATCGAAAGCCATAATAATGCCATTTAGCATTGCCATAGGAGGTACTGTATTTAATCACACTAGCATTCGCCGGCGTTTGATAATTCTGTATGGAACAGTGATGAATGACTGAACGGTCCTTCCTTTTCTTGTCCCCTGTGCTTCCTTTGCCACAAATGCCTTGTAAAGGGTGTCCGGTCAGGAACCCTTTAGCTAGATATCTAGGGATCAAGTCCCTTCCTTTTCTAATGCTCAGGAGACAGGTAGTGAAGACTCACTTCTTTATCCTTATCGCAGTAAATACAGACAGACGACAGCCGCTCAAACGGTTGCGAAATACCGAACTTCTTCTAGTAGGATTCGACCGGCTATATATACGCTGAGAAAGAGGAGGTGGGGTTAAAGAACCGCCAAGTACAGAGTACAATATTGACAGAACCACAGACAAGCTGCGCGGGAAATCAATGGCGGCCGCGAGACTGTTGCAATAACATTCAAATAGGAGTAACATACATACCAGTGGAGATAGAGCGATTCCGAATGGGATAAGTGAAACGAGGTAATAGTGAGGTACTACAAAACGAGGTTATAATGTAACTAGTGCGATTATCAAAATATATACAACAACATCTGTATACTGTACATATTACATGGCATTCACATCCACATTACCGCCCCTCCTTCGGGAGGACGTCTCCGGCGTCTTGTCCATGTACATGCGATTGCGACGTCCAGTTTGCTTCATTACGTGGGCGACTCCCTGGCGCTTCTTCTTGACATCCTTCACGTAATATCGAATCCATGCCGTTTCTTGGTCTTCTCGGCTGCGGGAGGCAGCCAGATATTAGGCGGTGACTGCGGATGTCGGCAATCTGAGTCGGGAAGACTTTGCATGGGTCACGTACAATTTGACATTCTCTCCCTTCGGGGTGCACGCTACGGCTTCCGCTGGGTGCTGGATTAGGGTTTCTTTCCGATGGCGCTTCCTCTCCGATGGTGCTGCAAAAGTCTACGATTCTGGCGTCAAGGCCTCTTGCGGGTCCTGTCAGAAACTCTGCTGTATTCTTGCATATATCGTAGCAATACGCATCCATTCCGATTCGCGGCTAAGCTCGAATGGCGGATGTTGAGTGTTGGGCACTTCGTTAGGCCAGACATAAATGAATGCTGAAGAAATGCACTGTTTTTGTAGCTGATCGGCCAAATCACCAAAGTGGGTGTAGACAATGAACTTGACCGTCGTTGGCTCGAGTACTTCCGTTTAGAACTTGGGCGAAGTGCTTCGGCAACGCGACCAGTATCGGATTCCCTGGCATATCGTCTGGTGATTGCGAGGTAAATCTGGTTCCTTCTTGCCATTGCCATACGGAAATACATGTCGATGTCTATCCAGGTTTTAGTCGGACAAGCAGTGGTTGTGGATTGACTAGACCACACCTCCGCTTTTTCAAGTGAGATGCAGGTAGAGAACTTTCTGAATGTGCCTGGATTGCGGGATGTGGTGGATAGTAAGCAGGGTGAATAACGGTCGAGGAAATCCTCGACCATAGCTCTCTACCATGCGAGAGTAGTGCCGAGAGTGAACATCCGCGCGGAGAGCACAGACGGCACGGCATGGCGAGTGTGAATGTCCGCGCGAGAGATCGTCTCTGATCGGGCAGAGAATCCTCGACGTGCCGTTGAGGAATCCTCAAGCGATATATACCCTCAGTTGTCAAGTACCGCAACTCCTTGTTCAGCAGTCCAGCTTCCTTACGTTCGTCTCCCCAATGCGGATGTAATGCAACAGTTGCCACATTAGCTAACTCAAGACAACTTTTGACAGGCTTAGATCGAGCTAGATCACAACGGAGTCCTGGTAAGCCTACTTGAGCGCGCGTATTGAACATCACGAACCGAGGATGGGACAGCTGCCGCGGATCGAAGCGCGGTATCTCAACTTCGACTCTGCAAAAGTACTTTGTTGCTGACCTGGCTTCGAGGTTACCCTTTAGCTGTAGCCGGACTCGTGACTGCGGAAGTCATTTGGGCCAGGGTCGGACTTCATGAAGACAAGCTGATTAAAGGATACACACCGTGCCAAGGGGGGTGCGTTGCCCGCCGTGTTTGTTGGGGGTGGCGGCGCGTCGGTGTGGTTTCTGCGTTTGATGGACCTCGTTATCGGTTTGCGGCTGGATCTCTCGGCATAAGGATAGTCTCGTATCACATCAAAGCGGACGCTCCAGGTCGCTTAATCCTCATCACTCTAAACGGACCAGTCCAGTCGTTTACTAATTTAGGATAAGCAGAAACCCCTTTTCCCATTGGCACCTTCATATAGACTCGATCTCTTACGCTGAGAGGTTTCTCCGCCACGTTGTGCCTGGCGTCATAGCTGCGTTTCATTAACTCTCGTGCTTTTTCGTTTCGCTCGCGAGCACTCTGCCGTGCCGTCCGTTGACCAGTTCGTGCACGTAGTCATCCATGTAACCATATAGGGTGTGTTTGCCCGCTCCTGCATGGAATCCCATGGCACTCTCGCGTCGAATCCGTGCATTAGAAAGAATAGAGACTCGCCTGTTGCCTTCGTGCGCCTGTTGTATTATACGCGATCATGCAAGTAGGGAAGCATCTTATCCCACTCTTGTGGAAGTCTCCGCTTTCTTTCTTAGCAACCCTATGATGGTTTCTGTTGAATCTTTCGGTTATCCCATTTTCACGTGGGTTGTAGCCTTTCGTGAAAATTTGGCGGATACCTAGAATGGATGACAGTTCACTCATCAGTTTGTTATCGAATTCTCCGCCCCCCTGGTCAGAAAGGATACATTTGGGAATTCGACATCCGTCGGCCATCCAGCGTTCAAATAGCGTGCGCGCTACCTGTTTCCGCTGACTTTGTGGCGACAGGATACGCCCCACCGTATTTAGTGAAGTGGTCGATAAGCGACAAGATGTATTTATTTCCACCAGTGGTCGGACCCATCTCGAGGATGTCGATCCCAATAATCTCGAATGGTTCCGAAGATTCAATCGGTTCTAGCGGAGGTGTCATGTCCGGTTTCGGGTTGAACAGTGTGCATCTTTTGCACACTTCCATCCATAGTCGTACGTCACGGGTCATGTTTTCCCAGAAAGCTCGTTTACGTAGTTCTCGCAGCACCTTGGCGCCGAAATGACCTAGCTAGTAGTGCCGAATGAGCACTGTCGAATACTTGCTTCCTGAATGCTTGTGGGACCACCCTTCTTACGGTGTCCTTGTCCATGAAGCAAAGATACCCGTCCTGCAGCACGAAAGTCGGCCACTTTGAGCTTACGTATCTGATTGGGGAAAACAATGTCCTTTGAGAGGGTACCCTTTTCCAGCGCTGTGATCACCTTCCCGTATGTGCTATCTGCTCTTAGCTCTCGTGTCCATTCAGGCTCTTCCATAGTGGACGCAACAATCATCTCGTTTGGAATGCTGCTGGTTCCCTCCAGGTTTTCCGCATCCACGGCTCCCCTGCTGAGGAGCATCCAGCAACCCGATTCGCAGCTCCTTTTACGTAAACTATTTTCATGTTGTACGCTTGCAGCTCAAGTGCCCTAGCGGAGCACTCCTGCTGACACATTCGAGCGCGTGAAGAGAGCTGTCAGCGGTTGGTGATCTGTAAAAGCTTGGATGGGCAGCCCGTATACGAACATGTGAAACCTTCGTAGTGCCGTGACTACCGCGAGTGCCTCCAAATCAGTGATGTGGTAGTTGCGTTCGCTCTTGCTTAGACCCTTTGACGCAAAGAATATCGGGTGTAAGAAGTTGTCGTCCCCTTTCTGACTCAACACTGCCCCTACACCTGAATAACTAGCTTACGTATGGATGCAGTATGGTTTTGCTCCCGAACGCGCCCCTTCAATATCGGGTTGCGCCAAAACTGGTGTGGATGTTAGAGCGTCTTTGAGCATTTCAAATGCTTCGGTACGCAACTTGGTTCACTCGAATTTTGTTCCTTCTGAGGTCATCTCGTGGAATGGTGCTGCAATTTTAAAAAACCGCAGAATGAATTTCCGATAGTATGAACACATTCCTAGGAACGTTTTCAATCCTGAACGCGTTTGGCGTTGGGTACTTGCATATTGGTGAGATCCTCTTGGGATCCGCGTGCAATCCGCTTTTGTCGAGAACGTGTCCAGAATTCGCACCTCAGGTCATCGAGTATGCACCGTTTTGAGGATTGCAGCGTTAAGATTTGCTGCTGTTAACAAGCTGGCGGAAACTTTTCCCAAGAACTTCGGGATGACGTTGTCCTCCAGCTTGTGGTACGGTGGGCTACGATGATGTCATCGAGATAACACGAGACTTCATCTCCCTGTAGTGATTGAAGCACTAACCATAAGTGCATCAGTCTTTGGAATGCTGCTGGCGAAGACGCCAGTCCGAAAGGTAGAACCTTGAATTGATATAACCCTTCAGTTGTTGCGAATGCACTTTTTTCCTTCGCATTGTCTGCCAATTTCATTTTCCAATATCCGGAAGAAAGGTCCAGAGTTAAGAACCAGCCCTTTCCTTTTAAGTTTTGCAGAATGGTGTCGATCGTAGGTAGGGGATGACTGTCAATTTGAGTCACTTGATTCACCTTCCGATAGTCGCCACATAAGCTCAAAGAGCCGTCGTTCTTACTTACTAGCACAATGTGTGATGACCATGGCGAGTTGCTAGGCTCAATGATATCGCGTTCTTGAAGGTCTATCAGGATCCTGCGTAGTTCCGCACGCGCTGCCAGAGGAACTGCTCTGGCCTTTTGCTTTTGGCTTCGCAGCGCCCGTTTGGATATCGTGCTCCACTACGTGCGTTTGCGTGAGCTCTTGGTCCGTCACCGCGAAAACATCTTGAAAGTGTTGTACTTTGTTTTCTAACAGTTCGTTCCAACTTCCCTCGGATTTGTTCTCCTGGAGCAATCCTACTAGAATTTTCCAACGGTCGTTGATTGGTGCGCTTGTGCGTTCAAGCATGTTCGCGCAATCTACTGGTGACTTTTCGACGATAAGACTCTGGTCCCAGAAGCCCACCTTTTCCCCTGCTCGGAAGATTCTAGTTCCTCCTGTTATATTAGTCAGTGGCACGCTCAAGGCTTGCCCGGATCTACAAACAGCATGGGGTATTAAGTCACAGTTGGACCAAAGAATTTGTGCGGAGTCCGAAGGGCTACCGGCGATTGAAACTGTTTTCGTTTCTCCTGATTTGAGGTAAACCCTTGCCACTACCGCTGCCTTGAGAACCTTATTCTCCTTCCTTAACGAGAGGCTCTTTGTCTCTGTCCTGGCTTTAGCTATCGCATCACTCTTCAAAGGTTTCGTCTGACCTTTCTCCTTGAGCGGTATGGTCTGGGTGCTCGCATGTTGTGTCTTTGAGTGACTAGATGACGTCCGAACGCTTACCGAATGTCTCTTTAGCTGCACCGACGGTTCCAGCAGCGTTTTCGTTCCAACCGAGCCTAGGATGTTCGTTCCCAATACGATCGTATCATCGTTCCCTGCTCTCACACAGAATACCACTCATTTTTTGGGCTTAAAGCTGAGTCTAACTGCACCTTTGAATGCCATTTTTCGTCCCGAAGCATCGTAGATTTTTATGCGATCTTCCATCTTCACCTCTTCGACGTCTGCGTCCAGATCGAACCCAGCCTCTTTCGCGTCCAGCAGTATGCTTAGCGGCAGGATACTCACTCGGGATCCTGTATCAACCAGCGCTCTCCTAGTAAATCCTAGGAGTTGCACGTTGCACATAGTTTTGCTGCCAAACATCTCATTTTTGCTGTGGTGCAACCCTGAAGTGAGACAAGACCAATTTCCGAGAACCGTGGTGAAGGTGCGTTTCGGCTGTTTTGGGCAAGCATTATTGGGTGCGTGTTCTGAGTTTTGCTGCCCAGCCCCTTGTTGCCTCTTGTCACAGTCTCGTAGGAGGTGTCCCGGCTTTTTGCAGATCCGGCAGAAGCCGCGGTCTGCTTGTGGTGGTAGGCTATCATGTTGTATGGGTGATTGGGAGCTTTGTTCTCCGCTATCTTGAGATCGGTTTTGAACGTTTCTAGCTCGATCTGCGCTTTCTTCAACTTTCTGGAATGGGAAGGATCGTCGCGGTTTTCTTTGCTCGTTCACTTGCTTCAATTCAGAGGCGGACCTCGTTGCCGCAGCTGCCTTTTTATTTCTTTCAATCCTTTGTGCTAGATTTTCGAGCTTCCAAAAGCCTGGTGCGGTGGTGCTGACGGGTGCGGGACTTTTGGTGCGTCCGGACTGGCACGCGGCGAATTGCGCGGCGGCATGCGCGGCGATCCGGATGAGACAAGGCTTCTCGTGTTCTGTAGTAGAATTCGAAACGTCAAAGCGCATCAGATTGCGGATAAACCCATCACCCATGCGATTAAGGAACGCTATAAATAGGAGTTTTTACTGCAATGTTTTTCAGTGTCAACTATATTGCTTTACTGATCGTGGCGCTCGTGTCTCTAATCGTAAGAGGACATTCAAAACAGCCGATGGTGGTGACACTAGGACTAAGCCCAGGAGGGGGAGGAACGCCTGGAAGAACACAATTTGCTCCCAGAATCCCCTTCCCCTGAGGCTCAGTTCCAAGCACAGTAATTGGCTCACTCACTGCCTCTCCCAACGACATGACGCCCTGATCGCTGTCACAGCTTTATGTCAGCTCCTTCTCATCCCTTCTTACCAAAGTTTCCTGACCATCACCGCTGAAACTTCGCACGTTGGAATGTAATTGAGTCGCAGAACCTTGCGAAATTTATCCGTTTCACATTTTGACGTGGTAAATTCCACTGCAGACGCCCGCGAGATTTGCATCCGGATCGCCGCGCAGCCGCCGCGCGATGCCGCGTGCCATCCCGGACGCACCAAAAGTCCGTTGCCCGGTGCTGACTCCATAAAGGCGAAGAGCTGGAAATATCCTTGACAGTTGGTGATCTGTGACACTAGTTCGCTGGCCCTCGCCATCGATAAGTC